GCACATCTATAAATGTTTTAAAAATCTGATACAAGACATGCTGTGAGCGTGCGTATACTGCCTCGGGGAATATGTTAATTAAAACTATTTTGGTAATCGGCGTCCACTTTAATTAATTCTTTTTTTTGGCAACATTTAAAATCTGTTTGTAAACGTTTTCAATTTAGCATTGATTTGAATGTACAATTTTATAATTGATTCAAGTCGGTAATTGATTTTACAATTATTCAAAAACAAAATATATAAGTTTATTATCCAATACATAAAATAAACGAAAATATTCAACATCCAGCTTGTTTTTAGTCAACTTTAGTTTGGAATCTTCTATAGTTTTTACAAGCCATAAAATAGGGCGCTAGTTTCAAATACCGACATACTCTTAAAAAAAATGCTTAAATAAAAGGGCGCCTACTCGATTACTATTCCACGGGTGGTGCCTAAAGGTTAGAGTTTTTGGTGAATTCTGCGTGTTTAGAAACGAGTTTGAACTCTGCCTTCTGCTAATAGCAGCAGTTCACCAAGGTCTTCCCGACATCCCCTTTTGTTTTTATTCTAGACAGCAGCAGTTCACCAAGGTCTTCTCGACATCCCTTTTGTTTTTATTCTAGACAGCAGCAGTTCACCAAGGTCTTCTCGACATCCCTTTTGTTTTTGATTCTAGATAGCAGCAGTTCACTAGGTCTTCCCGACATCCCCTTTTGTTTTTGATTCTAGACAGCAGCAGTTCACCAAGGTCTTCCAAGACATCCCCTTTTGGGAATCGAAAACAAAAGGGGATGTCGGGAAGACCTAGTGAACTGCTGCTATCTAGAATAAAAAGTTGGCGGTGGGTGGTGATGACTAGCTGCCCTCCCTCTAGTCTTACACTGCTAAATTAGGGACGGCTAGCGCAGATAGCCCTCGTGTAGCTTTGCGCGAAATTCAAAAACAAACAAACATACGCTTAGAATTAAACAGCATTACACTCACCAAAAATGACAAGAGTCCGTATTCATAGTGTTATTGGGGGTGCGCGTTCCTCTGCTAGCTCTCCTTATACACGCCTCCGTAAATGATTTGTCCATGATATATTTTTATTGTTTGTTTTTGTGACAAACTTCTTGATTAATAGTGTGTGTGTGTTTTTTAACAACCGGTATAGATTTTGATTATGTTATCACTTTTTAAAATAAAAATACAAATAAACTTTCCCAGCTCTTCACGTGACGGAATTGTGTTCTACTCAGCGTAAAAAAAAATTGTTATTCGGAGATATCGGGGAAAAAAGGAATTGTGTTCTACTCATTGTAAAAAAAAAAAAAATATTCAGAGATATCGGGGAAAAAAAGGAATTGTGTTCTACTTATTGTAAAAAGAAATTTATTCAGCGATGTCGGGAAAAAAACGTCGTGGACCGAAAACAAAATGTGCCTC